AGTGTCCGTGTGTAGTTGGGGGGTACAAACCCTTTGGAGAGAAGTTTTCTTGTGCTGCCCGCCCCGCCCATCGGTGGTATATCGTAAGATCAGCGAAGATCTCGAGAATCGTGCAATTATCCTGCATTACCAGAGTCTCATCGATGCATCCCAGACGACGTATCTAAGCTACTTGAGACCTCCGATCGAGGCATATCTAGGTGGAGAAGTAACCAGACAACGCACGGGTCCGTCATACCCTCTCCCACATACCGACCTGGTCGTTCACAAATCCTCAATACTGGACATCTCCTGTGAAAAATCGTCAGAATAGTAGACTGGGGGAGCTGCGGTGGTATAACCGAATGATCAAAGAAGCGGGTGAGGAACGGTTGGGGTGTATCTTCCCTCACCTGAGCGTGCAGAACCTTGTGAATGTGCCCAGTGATCGGTTGGCCTAGACATGATGATAAGCTCACACGTAGCCATTGATGGATTCAATGATGAGAGTAACATACGAACGATTCAATCTTGAGTTCCTCCACACTGGAGCTGTTGGGTGTGTTGAGTTCGTTCAGACTAGCATGATAATAATCCATAAGTTCATGAATCACTAAAGATGGCGTTGGGGGGGGAAGAGAGGCGTAGTATATTTTCTTTTCCTCGTTGCTACTACTGTCTGTTTACTACGCACTCAAAGGAATCCGAGGATATCGGACGGAAATCCGAGCGGCTGCAGGTTCCTTACATTTGACATTCCTCCTATTGCTAGGACAAGGCGGAGTCGTGGCTACAACGCTTTGAATATAGGACCTTGCATAACCTTCCGGTTTACTCGGATCTATGTATTTCATGCGGCCAATTAGGTCGGCTCGATTGAATTAAATCGTCCTGCTTACAGCGTGTTGAACACGCGCCTCGTCTTTGACAAGTGACAGTTCTATGACAATTCCCATACTTGTATGGTGGATGGAGTGAGATGATGCACAGCCTCGGGCATAGGATATAAGGCACAGATACTCACTGCCCTTCGCGTGCCCAACAGCCTCTTATCTTCCCCTCTAACCTGCAAGGTCTCACAATGGCTTCCGAGCAACGAGGATGGATGACGTACAAACAGTAAGTCTTCCTACCCCGTAGTACTTCCTGAGGTACTAACGACCGGCTCATAGGCAAATGGGTCTACTTGGTCATGGAGATGCTTTGTGGTGCGCTTTCCCTCTCATCACGATGACCTGCACCCCACGAAACCGCAAACACCTCAGGGAACCAGCACCAATTTACAGTTACAAGCGCGTCAAGCTTGGCGATGTGGGGTACATTCGTCGCGGTCGCTTCCACTTGTTGTTCTCCGCAGGCTATCCACTGGGATTGCGTCAACTGGGCGTCGACGTTCCCATCACCTTCGAGCAGTTGGATATCGGCCATATCATATCCAGTCAACCTCGGTCACCCGGTTACGTTTGCACGAGCACCGTCAGGGAAACTGGGGCCGGCCTGGGCGCCTCATTTAGCATGACTTCGTAAAGCTCAATGAATTTCATCTCCGCTGTATTTCTCATCGTCGCCCTAGATCCTTGGAACCCGGCGCCAGATTCTCGTTCGAACTCACCAAGAAACAAGGGGCAGCATTAATCACAAAGTACCCCACTTATCGGGAGGACATTGAACTCGAGTCCGCTTTTGAAGAGTACACGCGGCACCACTATGATTCCTGGGTGAAATTCGCCCGTGATGCGCAACATGGCAATGATATCAAACCTGTCCTCGTCACCGGCGTTGACGTGACAAGAGATTTCGCGATGATAGCTTACTCGAACAATAGCACCCACCTTTCGTCCGAGTTCGTCACTTCCATCCCCCCTGTCGCCCCCGCATCCACTTCCGTTTGGGGAGCATGGTACACTCAAGGGTTGGTTCACACCAACTGTGGCCCACAACTGTGCAGCCCCCCATCGTCCTCTGGCGCGTCGAACTTCAATTCCTTCGATAACGATCAAGTTGATGCTTCTCCAAGCCAGTACAGTCAATGCGTGTTTGTCCGGTATTATACCATGCGTCGAAGGGCGGGAATGTTTCCCAGGATCATCAAGGCAGCAGCAGGTCCGCACGATTATGGCCCAGGAAGCAACTACAACGAGACTTTCCCAGAGCTAATGGTGCAATCGGATACGGATTCCGACGCGGGGTCTGGCAGGAGCAGCAATTCCACAACGAACTATTCCAGCTTAGTCACCGGCCACGAATCAGAGCTCAAAGTATTCCGCAATGCTTCCTCGGTATGTTGGCTTTCATTCCTCCCTCCCGTTGCCAGTTCTCACTCTCTCTATTCAGGAGGGGGAAGACCCTTTCGATATCATTGCAGAATACATCTTCAAAGTGAGATCTTCCGGCCGATGCTGACTGATCACCTGGATCACTAAAAACTCTTGTCGACAGAACTCAAAAGCTGAAGCTGTGTTAATCCACCATCGTGACATTGCCCAGATGCGAGAGGTATGATCCACGATTATCTCACGAATCACAGGAATTCATTCGCAAACAGGGGATGCCCGAAGCCGAAATGTCAGAGCTTCTTTCCGAGCGTCAGCCGCTTATTGTGGTGGACAGTGTTGGAGGTCGGTTCCCACAAGTTCTATACTTCACTGAGAATTCACATTCATTCGGGCAGTGGGAAGGCTGGTTCACCAAACGCATCAGCAACTGACAGTGACCCTCCCTGGGACAACTAGTCCCTCCTCCTCGGGTCAACATCACAACTTCAGCCGTGAGATGGGCATTCATTTCCCCTCCTCCGTTTCGGAAGAAATTCCCGCGCAGATCGTGGACCGAGCCCAGATCATAAGTGTCCACTTTCCTTACAAAATTACGCTACCGTTGACTGTATCCGCTAATAAGAGCGCGGCCCACTTTACGACCTTACGACCCTCTCGATTTCGCCTCCAATGGACACCATCATCGACCTCATTCGCCGCGACGGGCGGTCAGCTCAGGTTCTCAATCCGGGCAATCTCCGTTCTCCCACCCCAACTGGCCATGATCGATGACTTGCGGATATCTACGCTCTGGGTATGGTGATATATGAAGTACTAACAGGATTGGACCCGTTTTACGACCGAAGTTTTGGGACGATTCAACTTACGTGCCGTGTGGTAGGTAGGGTACGACCGACCAAACCAAGTAACGTAGAGGATCGGGTTTAGAAGTGGGAGTTGGGATTTGGCGATGGAATGTTGGTGATTGGATCAAGAGTAGGAACAACGATCGAACGGGTACTTGCGCACTTGAAACGCGTTTCTGCGCCCTCGTCGGTCCCTGGTTCCCGGATCCCGCCTCCTGGCAGCCTCATAAATGCTGGCAGTGCTTGTTAGGGAGCACTTGTATGGGAGGCAAGCCACTGCAACGGTACAAGTTGCCCGAACATTTCCTGCTTTGCGTCCGAACCAGGTCGTGGGCGATCGATGCCGGTGAGTTCGCGACTCAAGTACTCAAGTACTCATTCATCACAACTGAAAGTTATGGTTCCCCTCCCAAAGGAGACGATTGAAACTTGTTCACAGCCTGCGTTAGCAAAACCATCGAATAGCTACGGTGTTGAGGTGGCGTTAACCATTTCTCCAATGTCTGGAATGTTCGGAAACTGCGGTATTTTGTTTGTGTCTGAACGGAACCGTTCGGGATTTACTGATCACAGAGAATTTGAACTTAGCGGATGTGGCGTGTCGTTTTCGTTCCATCCCACAAAGTCCCCAAACCGAAGGGGGGGACCCTAAGCACTACGTGTTCTTGTTCGGTGTGGATGCTTGTTCGCAGTCCAATGTGTGTCTCAACTTCTTTCTTGCATTGTGTTGATTATCCGTGGGGTTCTGTGGCTAGCCTAACGTCTAACCTTCAACGTTCAACGCCTGTGGTCCATCCCTTTACCTCATGCCCACCGCTTCGCCCATTTACGGGCGCACCGACCACCCCTTGACATGGTCCTAGGTTCCCCGGCTCTGCAATACGTCCCCGCCTCGGTTTCATTGGCAACTTCCTACCTGCACGCACTTCACTGGCCCCCTCTCCTTGACAACATCAAATATCTCTCTCGTTCTCCAACAATGATCACTCCAACGAGATGACGGACCTCAGGATCTTCCCCAGCAAACACACCATTCCACTCGGTTATGAGAACGACAATGCAAAGGTTATCTCTTCCGTCATGTCACCAGGGATGCAAATATCAGGCGACAGTGGGTGACTGTCCCTAGGGCTACAACCGCGTGTGGATCATGAATAAACGAATATTCGAGGACTTTTAGGGAGCGCGGAGGGACCCCAACCGCTCTGGAGGGTCATGAGCAGCGCGAAACTTGGCTACTTGGATCCTTCTACGATGTTTAGAGATATATACATCCATCATAGAAGGGTGCCAATAGCCGAGATCCACGCCACCGACCCAACAAACGGTTGGGGTCTCTGTACCTTCCTTAAAAGTCCCTGGGCGTTTGTCTAGACTCACGTGTACACGGTGCAGCCTTATGGACAGTCACTCACTGTGGAAATGTTTGCCTGCCCATGTATATCTCCAAAACACGTACTTCCCTCATTTTATAGCCTTTGTAGTTTGCAGAACTATACTTCCCACTTGAATATACTTGTTTTTAAATGCATTTGGATGATAAGTACAAAAGGAAGATTGCCTACAGTCATGCTAGCGAGAACCTACAAATATCCTACAGATTGGCTAGCCGTAACTATTGCGGCGCTGTGGACGTAGCTATGACCATAGGAGGAGTGCTGCTCGCGTAGCTATGGACTCCGATCGAATAGTTCCGGTTAGGGCTCGCCTAGTGTCGGGCAGCGTCGCATAATCGCTATGATTTTTCCAGATGCCCCGAGTGTCGCAGACATAGCGCAGTATCTCCTCCCTGACAACACTCCAAGCCAAATTATTTGCCCACCCGTCAACGAATGGCCTCGGTAGGTTCCAACAGACAACTTGCACGTACCCTCCAAGAAGGGACAGAGAGCGCAAAAAATGGAGACGGCGAAGATCGAATTCGCGACCTCACGCAAACTGATCCAAATTGATGCGAAGCGCGCGCTCTACCAACTGAGCTACGTCCCCTTTGACACAGTTGTCCCCTTAACGTTCATAGAGCTCTTAGGGCGACACAACTCCAGGTTTGCGGAATCATAATGTTACAACGTCGTAATACACGTTTCTATTCGTTGAAGTATTCAGTCTGACGTGGAGCCGTTCCTTCTCCGCGGTTCTTGGGTGCCTTTACGATCAAGTCCGCTTGTTGCCTGAATGACAGGATTAAGGTAAGGAAGGGCTGACAACGGTCAAAGGACTTACAGTCTCATTCTCAACAGTAACTTCCTGTTAGCCGCCTGCATCTCCTTGCCAGACCGCAGTGCACGAGCAAATAGTTCTGACCGAGCGTCCGCTTCCTTTGCTTTTAGAATCTGTTGTAACCAGTCAGTTCGTGTACTGGGATTAAGCGTAGAGGCCCACCTTATTCTGACTGTCGACTCGCCCGCGAATCTCCCCAGCTTGTATTAGACTAACCACTTGCTCCTCCACTTGCTGAACAGTCCAACCAAAGGCGGTTGCCATCCGCTCGAGTTTGATTGACGAGAATGGCTGGAAGTACAGAACCAGTGCGCGACTTTTGATCAGGTCGGTGAGGTTCTTAATGTGCTGACCGAAATGAATATCGACGAGATGTCTTGCCTATGGGTGGGGTGAGTGCATCGGTCTAAAGTAGTAACGACGGGACTTACCGAATATCTTTCGAGGAGATCAAGAACGGTGCTGAATTTACTCGCCATGTACGCTTCCACGAGTTCTCTAACATATGGCTCGTACTCAATATATATCGAGAAGGATTCGTTTTCCAACAATTGCGATTTGATCGCCGAACGCGAGAGGCTGGCAAGCGCACAAAGAGTTCCAGCGATACCAATATCGCCCGGGGCAATGAGCTATTTGAACGTGAGAACGATCAGGGGGATACAAGTACGCGAGAGAAAGTCATACCTTCCCGACCCACTCGCCTAGTTCCTTGACCGGTCCAAGCTTCAGAAAGAGATTCGCCGCCTTCTCATAGTTCCCTTGTCCAAGGTGAGCAAGGGCGCTTGCAAAATCAAGTTTCGTTTGCCATTTGGCCCTCTCCTGGCTCTTTTTGGCTGGTCCTGTACCTGGAATAACGGGAGTTGTACTTGCTGATGCAGCGTTTGATGCAGCATCAAGCGCGGTGTCTGCTTTGAAGACATACGTCGAAATGTGAGAGTAGTTGCCTTGCAGTATAAGGAGCTAGATCAAATTTTGTGAGTGCTGTGTAGATTGAGTGTCGAACAGAGAATATTCAACCTCCAAGATTGCAATGCACATATCGACAACATGTTGGCTAGTTGTGCATGATTCCCGGATCTTTGTGAAGTGTTTGAGAGCACCGGTGTAATCTCCAACGGATAGGTAAAATTGACCAAGATCTCGGTGAGCCATCTGGGACAATGCATCATCAGCGGATGTGAATCCCCCAGTAGTAGTGGAACGCACTCGTATGCTCTCCTTAATCATGTTACTCGTGTATGTTTTCAATTCCACCTCAAGCCTTGTCTTTTCAGCAAGATTTTTCGACGTCCATTCATCGTACCACACTTGATCCAGGGGCGCGACCTCGGCCGCAGGGGGCAATTGCGCATTTACCGCCATCACATCGTAGGCACCAGCGATGTTCCGGTACAGATCGACGTCTCTGGTCTTGAAGATATGTTGTACAGCAAGTTGCAGAGCTGGGACCGCCAGTTGAGGACATATGTTGATGATATACACGAGACGATCCACAGCCGTCCTGCCTGTTCTCCGTTATCAGTCGTTGGGCGCCGGTGCTTGGAGATCGTCATACCGGTGTAGCTTGATGAGTACGCCTCGATGTCAAATGGGTGATTGTTATCGACCAAAATAACTGGCGTCGAGATGCCTCTAGTCGTCCCCCTCAGGTTCTGGTTGTTGTCCTCGTCGATGTCCATGGTGAGAGACAAGTAGTCACGTGTGCAGAGCGCGTCTTTCACTCGAACCGCGTGCCTGTGTTCAACATTTCCCCGCGTCCCTCTACGATGACCATTGACTCGAGCTATGTCGGCCGCTACGGCACACTCAGTCTCATGAAGAAGGATGGCTCAAATATTCCCATCGCACACTACCCTATTGACGACGAAGAAATCACTATTGGACGGGACCCGAACTGTAGCGTTCGGTTATACTACCACACGATCAGCAAGCTGCATTGCAAAGTGACATTCGAAGATGCCAAGGTAAGAACTTGGAGTATGATACTGTTGCGTCCTGCTCAAACCATTCTAGGCATTCTTGACTGTCTACGGAACCTCTGGCCTTGTGGCAGACGGTTTTCCTCTGTTCCCGACCGCTACCGGTCCAACAACCGTACCACTCGGTAACAATACCGAGATTGAAATCCAGCACAAACGATTCATCTTTACATACCCACCGAAAGACCTTCGAGCTATGATTCTGGCTACACCAGAACCAGACCGAAATGGCAACAGGAGAAAGACTCTGCGGATGTCCATGATCGCTAGCGCAATGGTTTTCACCCCAAGACCCAGTCAAGATCCTCGGGAAAACCTGCGTACTCTCCAGAGCCCGCTTAAGCCAAACTACTCTAGTCCCCTCAAACCAACCTTCAGCGAAGAGCCAGAGGAGGAAGAAATTGTCCTCGTCGAGAGCAATCATCCTAACGTGGTTCAAGACGATGAGGATAACCTCGTCATCCTCGAAAGTGTGCAGGCACCGAAGCCACTAGAGAGCCCCAGACGACTTGTTCAATTCACGCCACAACCGCATCAATACCACACCCCTCGCAGGAATCCATGTAATTCACTCCATCGCGCTGTCCTCATCAGGTCCGCCCAGAGGACTGCTATGAAAGTCGAGGTGGAGCTGGAGGAGGAACAAGAAGAGATGGAGGTTGAGGATGTGGTCACGGAGTTGGAGGAAACCAACCTGGATGATAACTCTCCTGAAGAGGTACGAACGCGGTCAGTTTATCCTCACCCAAGCTAACATCAATTGTAGGGTGACGGCGAAGACGACGTTATGGAAGACGATGTCCCGGAGGAGGAGGAAACAGGCGAACAGCCAGAAGATCAAGAGGTGAACGAGGAACAGGAAGAGGATGATGTTCCTCGACCGCTCGGCCCCTTCATGACTCCCCAACCTTCTACCGTGCGTGCCTCGAGTGTCCTCAGCAACCAGTCAGGCTACTCTGTTCAGGGTCCTCAGCGTATTCGCATAATGCAACCATGGAGGGTAAAAGACATTGTAGTCCCCCAACCCTCAATGACTGGCGTGAAGAAGGAAGACCCGGAATCAAAGGAACATATTTCTGAGGAAGAGCGAAGCGTGAGTTTATTTGTCGTATTCTACCATCCGCATTCAATTGATTTTCCGTTGAACCGACAGGCCATACGAGCGAGACGGAAGTCAGCGTTCATGGTACCCGACCCTGCAGACTCCCAAATACCTGGTTCTCGGCGTATGTCGACGATTCCCCGGCCTCCCCCCACCACTGCTCCCTCCGTCCCTCCATCCTCCAAGAAACCCTTCATCAAACCAGACCCCAACCCACCGGAAGAAGAGGAAGACACAGAAGTCCTTCTCGAAAAAGTCAAAGCAAAGATTGAGGACCTCAGACGTCGACAGAGCATCGGACTTGGCCCCCCTCCATTGGAACGCCAACGGTCTCGCAGTCCAGCAAAACAAGATGCGGAGTCGCTGTTCTGGGGATCTGATAGTGTCGCTAGCGCGAGGATCGATCAAACGGGTGAAAAGGGTAATGTCGGTGCGAACCATTCCCATACACAGGATGAAGACGAGGACATGGATGATGATGAGGCTGAGGAACAGGAAGTTATCCGACAGACAACCCCGGATAGATCTTGGAATCCGTCCAAAACCAAACTTCCCCCGAAAACCCCAAGAATGGACGGAATGAAGGGGTTGTTTGCGGATCCGAAAGCGGAACTGTCCACACCTGCTATGGGTGGCATCAAACAATTGTTCAACGAACCTGTCCAGCCTCGAACCCCAGTCTACGGTGGAGTCAGGGACATATTCAAGACTACCGTTGCTCCGGTTGTGCCGGGGACTCCAGTTCTTGAAGGCGTGGGTGACTTGCTTAAGACTCCTGTTGCTTATGACAAGCAGCAGCCACCGGAAGAAGCAACAGACGCGACGGTCGACACTACCACACCCGATTCAGAAGTGATCATACCTGGAACCAAGGCGGCTGAGGCAGTGCGGAGAAGAAAGGCTGTAGCTGTGGCGAAGAAGCCAACCGAGGAGTCCATCCAACCCATGATTGGTACGCAACCATTGAAAATAGGGAGACCGAAGAAGACGCTTAAGGTAAATAACTCCTATGATTCCATTGTAATCGCCAATGTTAACAAGCTACCCCAGGAAGCAGCTTCGTTGCCGAAACCCGCTCGAACAAAGAAGACCACCGAGGCCGTAAGTTCTTCAGCTCTGGGTGTTCTAAACACCATCATGACCACTCTTGCGAATTCATAGGGCCCCAGCAAGCCCGTTCCTACCTCTGAACCGGCTCGAAGAACGCGAGCTGCCACAGCCGAGGGCGATGCTGAGGAACAATCCCAACCACCGCAAACCACAGACACTACTGGAAGTAAAGTTGTACGCCGGACCCGTAGGACACCGGATGTCCCTTCAAATCCACCTCCCGTCCGGATGACCCGTGGGCGAACCACGCCTACGCCTACGGAAGAGGTTGAGGCCATCGCCACGACGACAAAGAAACCGAGCTCTTCGTCTAACTCGAGGACAACCCCCAGGAGGGGAACACGAAACACACCCGTCCCGGAGGATGATCAGTCCGGGCCTGCTCCAGCTCTCAAGAAATCTACTCGAGGGAAACGCGTCGAGACAATCAAAGAGGAGGGAGACGATGACACCATTCCACCTCAGACTACCGCACAGAAAGGGACACTAACGAAGAAGTCTCAGCTTCTAACCCGGTCGCGAACTACTGTGACCGAAAAAGACACCCCTACCGAGAAGGAGAACGAACCAAGTGA